GAGGAGAGAGAGAGAGGAGAGAGAGAAATATTACATATATATATATATATATATATATAAACATAAATACGTATATAATTATACGTATATATATATATATGGGGAGGGGTACGTGCGTGCGTTTATGCGTGTATGCGCGTCTGTACGTCTCTCTCTCTGTCTGTCTGTTGGTCTGTCTGTGGGTTACGTGCGTGCATGAGTTCATGTGTCTGTGCGTGCTGGTGCGTGTTCGCGTTGGTACACAATTAAATAATAATAATTATTACTATTGTTATCATCAATGCATCATTGTTATTATTATTGTTATTATTATTAATATTATATTTGTTATTATTATTTATATACATTATGTAAATAGAGATGTGTCAGAGTACTAATTCGAATATAAGGCCTATAATGTCACACGACAAGCGCAACTGCAAACGTACTAGTATACACTGCAGCTACAAATAGCTCGTGAGATACTTCTTGTATAAATTACATGTTTCTAGTCGAACGTTGGGTTCACTCGGCCGGCCTTACCGTCGGTACACTAGTGCTGTGCCACGTATGAAGCTGTTATATGCTACCGTCAGCACGTCTTAACAAAACTGAATGGAAAAATTGGCATTCATTCTGTCAATACGGCCGACCCCCTCTAGCTGATATTTACACATAATAACTGCATGAATGCGGTCAATTATTCCGGCGAAATTTATTAACTTTTGATAAGAAGATTGCCATAGGTTGCCAATGAATGTTCAGCTCCTGATCTCGGTGCGTACTGATGAAAACCAAACAGGCGGTGCTGTTGACACTGCAGCCACACGTGTTTGCTCCCGTCGTCTGCGGGGAGCAGCATCTAGAGAGCGCGCCGGTCGCGCGCTAGGTCGGAGCCTCTATACACCCATCACGCTACTACGTATACGTGCTCCCTCGGTCTACGCGTTCTTATGTATGACCGACAATTATATGCATGTATATATTGGTATATATATATATTACGCGTGCGTGCGTGCGTGCGTGTGTGTTGTTTTGTGTTGTGTTGTGTTGTTTTGTGTTGTGTTGTGTTGTGTTGCGTGTGTGTGTGTGTGTGTATATATTGGTATATATATATATTACGCGTGCGTGCGTGCGTGCGTGAACCACTGATCTCTACTACTACTAGAGATCCTGTGGTGTGAACCCAGATCTCCTGATATCATGAATCATGAATATAAAAATGTGTCCATTTTTTAAAATTGTTTTTATATATATACAGGTGTGTGTGCGTGTGTTATATAAATATACAAAGACACATACAGAGTCTCATTAGTATAGTATTTCTATAGTGTGTATGCATATTATTATTATATATCATTGCTCATTGTTATTGAGCTCAGTGGTCTATATCTGGGCCGCTGGTCGGCGCTAGTATAGCGATTACATTTGCCGTCTTCAAATACCAAAGATACATAACAACAGATTCCGCTGTAGTACTCATAGAAATAAGTGTGTCTATATATTTCTATGGTAGTACTAGTACAGAGGCCACAGCGCAGACTTTATAATTGACGTTATTTCACAGTGAGACAGCAGGCATACTTTGGCAATGCAAATACTTTCATTGTATATAAATTGTCGTTGTTAAAGGCATAATAGGCCCATCGATTATGCAATTTTAACGAATGCTAGAGTAACTGGCACCTTGTGTAGTTA